AGAGCGTTTTCTCTGACATTAAGGCAGTGCGGATCCAGCAGTCGGAGGCCTGGGCGGGGGACCGGGACCTGCCCTGCACCCACGCGGTATGCCCGGGCGCCTGGGAGTGGTGGCCCGAGCTGAGCAGCACCACAGCCGCGGCACCTGCCCTGCTCTGTCACCGAAGGTCCGAGCAGCTCACACAGGCCAGGGTGGCGTGAGGAGCGTCCCCCGGCCCTCGGCCACCAGACGCGGAGTCCGGAGAGAAAACCCCGACAGAAGGCTGGACACACACGGACCCCGAGCACAGCCTCGGCCCTGACAGCTACTGTTCCTACCGACAAAGCACAGGGGGCACGTTGGAAAATATTTCGAGAAATATTTCACGGGTAGGCACTCCGAGAACACAGGGGAGGACGAACCCGCGGAGCTCTTACCATGTGTGTGCTGGAGGTCACTGTCTGAGGTGGGGAGGGAGCAAGCAGCAGAGAGAAAAGAGCGAGATACAAATAAAACACCCCAGAAACCGCAGCGCCAGGAGGATGCGCACCACAGCCACGCCTGCCCACGGCCCAGGAGCAGGGCACTGCCCTCCTGCGCACACCTGGCCGTTCCCGGACACAGCCCCAGGCTGGCAAGGCAGTCAGGGCCAGCGGGTGGCGCGTGGCTAAGATGCTGGATTCTACACGGCTGCCCACAGCTCCAGCCCAGACCCAGGGGGCTGAGGGTCACGCTGTGTGCGCGTGGCCCAAATCTCAAGAGAATGGAGGAGCGATTGCAGTGTGGCCATCCCCGAGGGGTGATTTCTCACTTTCCTTCTCCCTGTTTCTCTCCTGCTAGGCACAAGTGCCCTAGGGCAAAAACCTAAAAAAATAAAAGTAACACAAACCCAGGTAGGCCTGAAGGTGAGCTGCTAGTTAACCAGCCAAAGGCAGAATGGAAGATACACAGACGGAAAAGCCTCAAAGGGTCTTGCCCCCAGGGGGCGCCGTGGAGCAGGCGTGGAGGACAATGGCACTAATGGGAATATACCCAGCAGGAACCTTCCAGGCTGCTGGAATCACTGTTTCGACAAACCACTGGAAGGAGTTCCAGGGTTCGAGGGCTTGATCCCCAAGCAGCCGGGGCTGCAGGACTGAATTCCGTACTGACCTGTCCGTTGCTGGTCACAGCTGTGTTCTCAAACATGAAGTAAGCACCAAAGAAGAACACAAGTGCGTCGAACACCCCCAGGAAGGTCCAGTAAACGAACACCCTCCAGCGGAGCAGTGCGTTCTTGGCGATGTCCCTGCACGAGGACGAAGCAGGCGTCAGCCTACAGTGGCCCAAGTCCCACCCCGAGGCCACGACACATGTGGGTGGGAAAGGCCAAGCCTGGGTGCCCGGGCAGCTGGAGCAGATGCTCGCAGTGGGGCACGACACTGCACGTGGCCGGCTTTGTGTGGACTTTCTCCTGTGCCATGGTGACAGCCCTGGAGGCAGAGACGCCAGCACACACTGGTGACCCCGACAAGGGACGCAGAGCACATGTGACATGCAATTCAGACAGAGCAGACGTCTGCTGAGGCCGCCTTCCTCACGCCAGCCTTCCCACACCTGCTCGCAAGGCACTGCGGGCCCCTCTGGGCGTCTAAGACGGCACACACTCTGTCCCCGACAACCTCCCAATTCCCAAGTGCAGACGACAAACCAGCAGTCGCCCCAAGTCTCTGTCCCCTACAGCAGTCACTCCGGCTCCCACACATGCGTGAGTGAAGCTGGGGAGCCCAAACGGGACAGGAGAACGGGGTCAGTTCACTGCCTGTGCGTTTCTAACTGCGCCCCAAGGAGCAGCAGGGGAAGGCGCCCGGAATCTCATTTCGTATAGCTACGCGTGGGCCCGGAATGACCCACAGCTAAAATGTGATTTAAAGACCACAGGGGTGACACGGACGGCACGGACAGAGAGCCACCCCCTTGCTACTGTAAGAGCAACAGCCTTTTTAGAAGGAAGAACGCCCCACGAGTTCAGACCTGTCGGCGAACTGGGCAGAACACACTTGGCGGTCCCAGGCTCGTCGGGGCAGACGCCCTGGGCCTTGGTCCCCCTGGCCCTTTCCGAAAGCACAGCCTCCACGGCAGCCCTCGTCCAGACCGCACCGCTCCCTGCTCGAGGCCCTGCACAGGCAGGCGCGTGACGCCCGGGCGGCGCTCGCGGGGCGCAGGCAGCCAGGGCAGGCTGTGAGGATGTACCTGTACAGCGACGGGTCCCTCTTGAGCACGTCGATGCTGACGTGCTGCTCCATCAGGCTGTAGAGGAGGATGGGCAGGGACGTGAAGCTGATGTTGTAGAGCGTCAGGTACGCTGTGTCGTACAGCGTCTGCGGGGACAGGTACACACGGCTTTCACATGCACGCCGACGTGTGCACACAGGGCTGACCCAGACACGTGAGAAGCACACGGGGCCGGCCCCTGCAGACCTGGCGGGGCCAGGACACCTGTCAAAGCTTCCTGGCTCTAACCGGTTGGGATTAAAACCACAGCTGGTACAAAGACGCGAACAGCCACCTTGCACTGCGGGCTCGGAGAGCGAGGCGTCCGCAGGCTGGCACCGTCTTTGAGCTTCCCGCTCCCTGCAGGGAAAGCCGTCGGCCCACCGTCCATCGGAGCAGGAAGGCGAGCGTGCGTGAGTAGCAGGTGCCTGGAGGCCTCCACTCTCGGGTGCAGGCCAGCCTGTACACGGGCGACT